TTATATATCTCTTCTTTGGTACAATGTATTTTCTTAACATGTTAATATTGTTTCACCCTGGAATGCCTGTCCATGGTTTGCCTTGTATTTGAATATATTTAGTGTTGTGAGATTTCAATGGGGGAAGAAAAGTGTTGAAAGTATAGAAGCTGACTCCCTAGAGGGAGCAATCAGCCCTGACCCTGTGCTCTGGGCTGGTGTGGGGAGGGAGCCCCTTCTAGACTGCCCCCAGGTCTAGACAAAGCTCTGACCCTCTCACATGGGCACAGCTGTCTCTGCCTCACCATCTCTGGGTTTAGGGAGATGAGGCTTTTGCCCGATAGACACCATAACCTGTTTTGATGATTTCTTTTGCTTTACATTTATCTAAATTTGTTATCAGTTGGGTCATAAGACAAGCTCTAGATTGTTGGAAAAGAGACAACTACTTTTAATTTTTTTCATTTCAAACTACATTTATAATAATGTGGCTTTTTTATTATAATCCATGATTGAGCAGAGAATGAAAAGATGTTTAGTTTTTCTTGTATTATTTTAATAGGTTTACACTATCAAAGGTAAGCAGCATCATGAATAGTTACCGATGCCTCTGTGCATGAATAACTCATGAGACTGTGTTATTTCTGATTTATATTTTGGTGTGACTCTCTTCTTTCCCCAAATTAAAAAGACACAATATGTGTTATGTGTTTTTGCTGTAGAACATTGTCCCTCAAAAGCAGGAAATATCTCGTATTCAAATTTTTTCTCACGCTTGTGAAGTCAGCAAATCAGTTCATCAGTGAGATTACAGAGAGAGTGCCCTTATTCTGTTCTCTTTGCCCCAGTCATAGGGCACAGAAAACACAGGCAAATGCTTGTGGACAGAAAGAAAGGTGACTGAGAATACCAGCTTTGATACTTGACCCTGGAGGGAACTGGCCTCCCTTCTTTGCGGTTCCTTCTAAATCAGTGCTTCTCTGAAAATCGTTAACACTGACTGAAAACATGAGGATGTGTTTTCATTNAAATCAGTGCTTCTCTGAAAATCGTTAACACTGACTGAAAACATGAGGATGTGTTTTCATTCACATAGTAAGAGTACATGAGATGCTATAATTTCTACTTTGAATTAATGCTTCCCCTAAAAGTTGCTTTTCCTTTTTCTCCTGAGCAGATTATATAATACCGTACAAATTTTAAAAGCAATTATTGTTTTATAGAGGGAAATACTATTTATGGAATAGAAGGCTTTCAATTTTGTACATGATAGTCAGTGTTTTCCTCAGAACAATGTTTAAGAATATTGGAGCTCTCCTGTCTGACAAGTAATTAACCAAGAAATAAACACTCTCCTTAGTTTATGCATTTTTAGGCAGTATAAGAATATGCTGCTTAAATTTCCTGAAATCTGTAAGTTCTGATTTTTTTGAGA